TCCCTGCGAGAGCATGAATTTTAGTCTCTCCAGTTTTTATTTGTAATGACCCATATCTTATGTAATGTTACACATTATGATCTATACTATGTTAGTAGTTTAATCTTAATTTGTGGCTAAAAAGGGGGAGAGAGTGGTAGATAACAGCCAGCAGGTGTAGAGATGATGCAGGTGGAAGACTTGGCTGAATTGCTACTACAAGTGGTAGATAACAACCAGCAGGTTAAAGATGATGCAGGTGGAAGACTTGGCTGAATTGCTGCTACAAGTGTGTTGCAGGTGTGATAACAGCTTATGCTGTTAGTGTTGTGTGAGTTCTTAATGAGTATGGGAATGTTTGTTAGATATGTGTGTGTTCCTTGATGGAACCTAGTGGTATTGTAGCTGTTAGTAGGGTGTGTTTCTGCAGGGTGGTTGCAAAATGCATGTGGGTGTGCACCCCTTCAAGGGGAGTAGCATAGGATGTTGTGCTTCACAGGTGATTGTGCACTTCAGGATGTCATCCTGAATGTCATAACATCCAGAGTATGCTGGATGAATATGTGTGACTGCAAGCTGTGCAGGTTGTGCCCAGCTGATGTAGTATGCATCAGTTGAGGGGGAGTAACCTAGAATGTTACTCAAAACATTGTGACATCTGTAGTGCTGACTAACAGATGATTCTGTGTGAACAGGTTGATCCTGAGAAGCTGACAGCTAACTGTGTAGACAACTCTTATAGTGCTTAGCTAGTAACTTTCCTGGATGATAGGCTATATGTTAGACTTCTGCTGCTTGTAAACTCTAATAAGTTAACAGGGTGTTTTAGCCAAAAATTTACCAAATGGGGAGTTTGTAGATGCTTTTGATTGGCTGCATTTTGTGGCAAATCATTAGAGTGTATATGAATGTCATGACTGATGTTATGACATACATTAAGAGTATTCTGCAGGGTAAGTGAAGTTGGATGTCATGACTGGATGTTGTAACATTGGTCGTATGACATCAGACGCGCGGGGTTTGTTTTTCTGTTATTAGCTCAGCTATACTTCAGGAAACAATCCAGGAAGCATAGTTATTTTAGGCGACATAACAGGCATTGCTGAGGAGAACATAGAAGACTCCTGACTTGATGATAAGGGCGCAGCTTCATGAAGAGAGGTTTATCTTGAGTAAACCTAGTTTCTCCATCAAGGCCCAAAGCAAGTTTGTTGCTATAAATAACAGAAGGATCATTCCTAATAGGGTAGAGAGCTTCAAGACATAGATTGGAGAGTGTTATTTATGAGTGAAGAGGTTTGCTTTTCACGTGTGTCTAGGAGTCTTAAGATTCCTTGTGTGCCAAGCAATTGTATGCTGTATAATTGCTTTGGTTTTTGTGTATGAACAGGTGTGTTCATTGTGCCACTCAAAGCTTTTAAGCAAGAGGGTTGTGTCACTTGATCAAAGTTGTGAAGCAAGATCAAGGTGTGTGTTTGAAGTGTGTCTTCATATCTCCACTGTAATTGTGAATTAGTTTATATCACTGAGGTGATTGAGGGGGAGTGAGTGGGTATACTCAGGTCTAGTGGTCTCTAGGCTGAAGTGTCATTGGGTAGGTCTTAAGTGAAGAGTGCAAACTGGGATTGTTTGACTCTGAATTAATTCTACTGATAGTGAATTTCCTCCCTGACTTAGTAGCCCCCAGATGTAAGTGTGGTTGACACTGAACTGGGTAAACAATTACTTGTGTTATTTACTGCTTTCCATTTACAGCTTATTATTAAGTGCAGTAGTCTATGTTACAATGGATGTCATAACATCCGTGATAACATCCATCGTGTGTTTGCCAGAATTACACACATGATCCTCTTGTATAACACACAAATTTTCATGAGCATAACGACTGAGAGGGAAGGGTAACATAATAGTACTTATCCTTAAAATTCTTACAACCATCTATCTAAGCTTCAAACAACTTATTCCCTTATCAAAAAGAAAGAAATCTTTGATCTCAGTTGTCGTGGTCGAGGTGCATTGCACGTTGAATAGGTGGATGAAAAGTTTTAGGGTGGGGATATTGTACATGCATTCATACCAATACTAAAAGACTTTGACTTAGACCCAACTCACAGGGTGCAATTGTGAGGGGACAATTTTCAAATGAATCATGACTCCGGCCTCAAACTCATTAAATGGAAACTTGAATCTTACTCTAAAAGACAGACATTTTTGAATCTCCTCGACAACCTTTAGGGTTCTAGGGAGCTCAGAGAAGGCGAAACCACAAGCAATTTCCATAATGTCGATCCTTGAGTAAACAACTTCCTCCTCACCAGCAATACATATGTCGGGTTCCTCTGTTTCCATGGGGTATTCAAACTCCTTAGCATTCTTTCTTGGACCCTCCAAAATTTCAAAATCTTGATAATCTCTATGAAATCTACATATAAATGTCTCACAACTAGAAGAGGCATCTCTAAGATTTCTAGGTTTATCATTTCGGTTTGTGATGAGGCATCACTTATGTCATCATAACTCAACATGTCTACAAAGGGAATGTTTGGATTTCCTATTTTGACCATAACTAGAAATAGGCCCAAACAACTAAAAGGACGGAGGAATAGAATCGTACCTTGAGTATTTGCTTGTTTCACTTCAATGAGATGAGAGACACTCATTGAAGACCTGAAAATGGCGAGCGAGAAGAGATGAAGATTAAAGGAGCAAGAGGACTACTAACATATGAAGATGGCAAGGAAGTCTTTGGATTATGAAATTATGAAGCAAAGAAGCAAAAAGCGCAAGTGACTGCATTCCCCTCAATTTATAGGTAATCATAGGCATTTAGATCTACGCCTAAGAATCAATAGATCATCAAAAACACAATCAACAATCCAAGATCAAGCTCGATTCCATAATGGTGCTCGAATACACTCAAGAGCTCTGGTAGTGTCGCCCCTTCTATCTTAGGGATGTAGGCCCATATGGAGAGCTTCTACAATAAAATGTTTCATTAACAAGACAAACGTTGAATGTGTGTGTTCCCAAGACTACTTGCTCCCACCCAATTCATCATCAGTCTCTTCCATATTTCAAAGGACCGTCCAAAGGCCTCGACGCGTCAAAGAAAAATTTTCTTGGGATTAGGCTCAACAATCCATTAACAATCCTAGCTTTGTGTCTGTTACCAAAGACTTGAGGCAACTATTTCTGACCGCCCATATAACTCAATAATATTGGCTCATTCCAAAGGTTTAATTCAGGATTTCACCTTCTCCAATTAATAAACAAATGGAGTCTCACTAAAAAGTCACACACCAAAGTCAAGAATCATACACATCTCAGTCATTGATGTCAATCTAATGGCCTCCTACAATTGGTGTCATATTCCACATCGTAAAATTATCAAAACTCGGATTTTTAAAACTAGAAATAGCCCACATTTGTTTCTTGATAGAAAATAATGAAATTTTATGGTATATTCTTGACTTATTTTTTGTTTTACAATATAGAAAGTGATGTTGAGTTTTAAACTATTTTTAATATGAGTGATCAATTTATTTCTTTTTAAACTCGTGAATCTTGTCAATTTCTGACATAAAATGCCTTACATTATAGTATGTTTTAGGCTCAAAATATGTTGTGCGGTCCTGCATCGCATCTGACACCAAGAGACACTTAGCATCGATAATTGTATCGTATTTATGCTCTTGCACCTTAGGTCAAAAATTAGCATTAGCTTTCCACAAATGTCCAATAAGTATGACACGCCACCACTTCACCATTCTCAGTCTTGCCACACCCATTTTTGCCAATAAAGGTTTGAGCTCAAAGACTGGAATCTCCTATTTTCAACAAACCAAATTTCATAATAGAGGCATCATTCGGATTATAAATCACGAATGTTACACATTAACCACGTCATTTGTAAGGTATTATTTGAGCTTCATTGATGACATAAACATCATCAACATAATTCGAATAAGACCGGTTAATGATTGAACTAAGATTATTTCACCAAGCACATCAAATTGGGATTACTTAATTGACTAATCTCATGGAAAAAAAATCACTCACATTTCAAGTATAATTTAATTTTAGATTTGTTCAATAAAAAGAACTTAAATCAAGTTACCTATATAGTTAAAAATGTAATTAATATACATTGCACAATTTTCACTCGAACAATAATATGCAATAACAGTTCAAATCCAATGTATAATATCTAAAAAAATTATATTATGAATCAATCACAAGTATTATATCATTTAAAATATTTCATTAAATTATAAATACTTGAATTATGCTAACAAATACACTTCCTATCTAATACACTCTTATCAACACTGGTTTTAATGGGTAGAGATTAGTCCCACCACATTTATGTAGAACTTACAAGATGATTGAGATAAATTTGAATTTCAATCAATCAGAAAATGTAGGTTAAAAAGAATGTGTCGATGGTTCTTCTACAATTATTTTTTAAGTAACACGTGTGATCTGTTCTGATTTATTGACAGTTAAACTTTTTATATTAACAATATGTTAAAATTGAACTCATTTAGGTTTGATTGAGAATCTCAATAATAACAGATTTTAAATAAAAATCAGTCTAACTTTTCTGGGAGAGTCAAGAAAAATCTCCCTGTTTTGCTTGGCAAAGGAATAAACAGAAGATTCGCAACAAAACTCTACCGTATTAACATACATTGTTCATATGTACTTGAGGGTTGGTGTTTGCACCCTTGATTGACCTTTTTTACATTCTTTCTTGGCACCCCTTAGTTTTCCCCTATTATACAGTTTCCCAGGGCTAGTTTAAAAGAAAGAAGATATTGATGTACCTTTTAAACGGTCTTACATACAGGCAAACTAATAAAAGAATTGCACCCGTAATTGCATGGGATATACTAATTCAATGAGATAGAGCCCTGCAAATATTAAAACAGACAAATTAAAACATGTTGACAATTTTACATCATTTTAATAGATAACATGAAGCTATTAAGATAATAGCAAAGACCTCTTTGTTAATAGGGTCAGGATGTAAAAGCAAAAAGTCTATCTGTAATATTCGTGCGGCATATAGGACACTCAGAACAAGCTAGTGAACAAGATTTACACACTGCAAGAGCAGACAAGAAGCTGTTAGTATTCTGCAAAAAATAATTAAATTGTCAAGAATGTCAGGCAAGAGTTTCGGACATATATTGAAAATACTTACAACAAAAATGTCGGCATGGAAGAAGAATAGCAGCGGTAGGAGATTCAAAACATACTTTACAAATATGGGAATTGGCATCACCACTCCCAAGGTACTTGAGTTCTTTTTCCTTCATCTCTTGCATACGAGCCTGAAATCACAAATTTGCAACTCAAAAAAAGTTTCTCAGCACGCCTTTCTGGCACAAGTTATAAATTTTGCAGTAAATATCAAAGAAATTGTGCGCGTAGTCAACAGACCTAATCATTCAAGTTCAAAAATACAAGAGTAGTTACTCCAGAAACTGAAAGCGGAACCATGTTATGCTCTGGTGATCCATTAGCTAGAATATTTGAAAATACCTTCAAAATTCAGATATGTTTTTTGCTTCTAAGAATATTTCAGAGTAGAGAACTGTGTTTCTATCGGGATGGCCCAAATTATTAGTATAACTACAGCCATTGGGTGGTTTAGTATTTTTTTTTATCAAATGAATTTCCTGCTGGTCAGTCTATGTATAAAGAAAATCAGTCAAACAAATTATTATAGTATGGGGTTACCTTGAGACGCACAACCAGGGGCTCTTCCTTCGGAATTTCACCATGTGGTTTTGATACATCCAAAAGCTGCTCCTTAGAGACAAAATTACATTCACTGTCATTAGTTTTCCGATCGTTAAAATTTTGAGCCCCATCAATTTTTTTATCAATGTTTGATTCTGGGACAGTTCCGCCATCTTTTTTTAACTTAGCAACAAGGACCCACATATTAGCTAAATCGTTCTCTAAGGCTTCCTCTCTTTTCTTGGCTTCTTCAGCCTTTTTCCTTAACTCCTCTTCCACAAATTCCTTCTCAGATAATGCAGCCTCCAGAGCAGCTTCTCTCTGTTTCCTTGCCTGCAGTTCTAGTCTCAAATCATCAGCATCAAGATTCCATGACTCAAAGTCATCTAGTCCAGCTCCTGAAATGTCATTAACACGGCTAGAAATCCTCCCCTTCCTCCCAGATCTTGGATCGCTATACTTACGGTTAACACCGTTAGCCGTTTGAATGGCAGCACGGGAGTTGGCCAGCTCCCGTACAGTCATCAATTCTTTTTCCAACTTCGCATTCTGCAATGAAAGTTTTGTCACTTCCCCGGCCAAATTCTTCAGTTCTACAGCTGCAGCAGATGCCAGCTCTTTGGCATAAGAAGCTTCTTCAGATAGTTTCTGATTCTGCACACGCAACCCACTATTCTCTTCTGACAAGTGAACTTGCTCTAGCTTAAGTTTCTCATTTTCAATTTCCTGAAAAGAAGGAATGAAAATGTCAGTATAGTGCAATCAAAACAACATTGTACCATCATTCAGCAGCCGTAGGAAAGATTATAAATTAAAATGCAGGGAAAGGATTTTGACGAGCAAGGGAAAAAACATCATAGTAAGAAAAGTGCACAAAAAACAATGGAATGAGATAAAAAACAAATAATACATCAACTGTGCTACTTTGAAAGCAATAATATCTCTGTTACCTGGGATTGTATCTTCTTTTTTAACTCATTAGCGTGTTCTCCAAATGCATATTGTTCAGAAGATAATGATGAACCACTAGAACTTGCTGCCAGTTGCTGCTCAAGTTGTTTCAACTTCTCTTGCAACTCTCTGTTTTCAGAACACTGTTGACAAAAGAAAAATAAAAGTGCGGCTGTCAAGTACAAAATTTCATAATTATATGTACACAACCAATACAACTTATAGGAAGAAAAAATCAATACAAGGATTGCATGTGGATTTCAGTAAACTTGTTAGTCTGAAAGTTAAAAAGATAAGTCAACAGGCAAAAACACGGGGTGCAATTTGCAAATGAAGACACATACCTTATCATTTAGCTGCTCCTGAAGAACACGGTTGTCTGCAGATTTGATCTACAGATGTTTTCAAGAGACATATTAAGAATGGTAAAAGAAAAATGATCAATGTCAACCTAGATGTATGCTGAATGCGTACAATTCAATTACCAAATAGAAGTGCTTATAAAAATCAGAATTTTGAAACTAAACTGATTACTACCCAAGAAACACGAACATTCCTAAAATACTCACCTCCAACTCAAAGGCTTTTTCATTGCACTGAGTCATTAATCTTGAGACTGTCTGTCATAACAAACCCACAAGGAAAAATAATTGCATGAATGAGCATTATTAAAGTATTTATACTTTACATAAATACGTAGGCTTCAAATCACTAATATTGACTAAATACCTGCTGCATTTCAACTAGTGATGAATTAGCCATAGATGATTCACTGGTCTCTGTTAATCTTTGCTCTAACAACCTCATCTGCTTCCTTTTTTCTTGGATTTCACGTTCTAAGTTCTCAATCTGTAATTAATTAACAACATTTATCTAAGAAGCCATGATACATCAAAACTACATTAACATGTTCGCAATACTGCTGGCACCAAAAAATGGGTGGGAATAAGACCAAACAGTATATAAAAAGGTGTCTGAGGACAAGGTAGAATACCTGACTTTTGGATCCATCAGGGTCATTTACAGATTGCTCTATCAAGCGCTTCAGAGTGCTGGTACTGAAAGCAATATCTCCAGCTAGCATCTTGACTTGCTCAACAAGAAGATCCATCTGATCAGACATTGTCACCCCGCCCTACAATTCAACGAGCAGTACATGTAACAGTTTTAAAAGAAAATGTGGTGATCGACCACTTAAAGTAAGAAGCATCAATGCAATAGAATTATGCCAGACAGTATCAAGAATTCTTCGTACAACAGAACTATAAAACTCAAGTGAAGGTATGGTAAAAACGAAAGGAATGATATCAGCATATCCACTCAAGCATTTTTCACCATGTTTATTCTAAGGTGTATCATATAATATCAGATAGCAGTCCTGAGAGAAGTGACACGAATTAGTTAAGTTTGAAAAGTAACAAAATCATTTGTGAGAGGAAATGAATTTACTGCTGCCAGTTTTGTTTTGGTGATCAGTTCACCAGCTTGTGTTGATTCAGTAACAGCACTGCTAGTTGGGGAGAATTCATCATTCCATCTACTTGATGATCTTTTATGTCTACCATCATGAAACAGATGTGATGACACTGCAGAAGTATCTTTTTTGCTATCACTTTCAATCAACATACCATCCCGAAAAGCATCAAGTTTCTGGAAAAATAAAAAATTGATAAGAATATAAACATTTTATATAATTTGTAACACTTTCTTATTGAACGACACACAAAGGAAGTTCATATGGATAAAATACATCACTCTTCTGCAATAATGTATTCAAGAATACAGAGTTTAGCACTAGAGCAGTCAAAATCCAACTCAATTTAAGTTTAAGATATTAAAAGAATGTGATAGAAACTGGTACCAATAGGAAGTATTAGTGAATAACAACTAAATATTATTGGTTAATCTCTGGAGAAAAGTTCTCAGTCAGACATGGGTCATACAATCACACACTTAAACAGAAAGTAATGTTACACAAGATAAGTTAAACAGAGACACAACTCCACCAAGATTTCGAGAGCTTCGCCTCTCCCCTTCCCAAATGTTCGAGAGTTGGGTCTCTCCCTTTCCAAATACCATTCTGAATTTCTAGGATAAAAACTGCCCCTGCTGTGTCTTTCCTTTTTATTGTTACAAACACCCAGAACTGAGTAGACGTAAATAATAACATAATTAATTATAACTAGCTGCCATTGTCCCACACAGTAACTGCCCCATAACTAGCAGTAAGTTTCCCATAACTGAAATAACCAGTTTTGCCCTTTCCTCTTATACACATTTCAAATAAGTGGTCTAACAAGGCGTTGGGACACTGAAGGAGTTCTATGCAGGAGATCCAAGATTCAATCCCTACTACTAACATTTCCCTCCTCCCACTAACTAATTAACTACTAACATTTGCCTATCCAAAAAAAGTCTTTTAGGCTGCAAGCATTTCCTTCCCTGAATGGTTTATGTCACTGTACTAAATCAGTAACTGAAGAACAAAAACACTACATAGTAGTCCCTATTAAAACTCAATTGGAGTCCAGCAGTTGACAGTGTGATATTTCTTGGCTATGAAAATTTAAAATAAGAAAAACTTAATATGCTAAGCTAGATTTACTGCGAATCATAGTAAGAAGCTGAGGGCACTGGAACTTCCACAGAGAAAAGGTTCTGTGGGAGTGGGGGTGGGGTTGGCAACCTGATAATGTAAACCTCTCAAGCCATGGAGAGATACAGGGAAAAGACCGTCCCCAAAGCAAATTCATCATAACCAATTTTAACTAGACAACTCAAACTTTTAACTTCCTAATTACAAGGAGGCAGCTTTAACAATTGCACATAGTCACTCCAGAGAATAGCAGCCCATTCAAATGGGAGGAAAAATAAAAAGTATAGCACAATCTACACTCATTAATTGAAGCAGTGGCTCACATCTTCCTCGCCAAAAGAGTGACTTCGCTGATGGTTAGGAGCTTCAGTAAGATATCCAGGAATTGCATTCTTTGAAGAAACCAGAATGAGTTTGGTTAGCCTCTGAATCCTACTCATAAGAGCAGCCTTGGCATCCTCCTCTTCTTCTAATCTTGACTGCATTTTCACTTGACCTTCCTCCAACTACACATGTAACAGCACAATTATGGTTAGACAATCACAAAAGCCTGTTTAATAATCACAGGCTCACAGCATGAAATGAACACCAAATGAAGCTAAAAACCTTCTGCTTTAAGGTCATAATCTCCTCATGACTGACACCAACTAGCATTCCCTTTTTTAGTTGATCGAGTTCTAGTTTGAGAACAGAAATTTCTCTCTGGTATTTCTTAATTAGAGACTTTTCATCAATGATCTGCAACAAATAATCCCACCATGAATCAGGAATCTCGAGTATATACATATAGGCATGTGATTGTATAGATAATTAATAGTTTGAGTCTACCTTATTACGCGACGCATATATTTCTACTCGTTTTGCCCTGCTGGCAAACTTCAAAGTATTATGAGTCTCCTCCATATTGCTGGAGGCAGGAGTTATGGTGCATATAAGCTGAAATTTGCATGTTACAACAAATGTTAATGAGACTCAGGTGCAGACAATCTAACACATGCTGTACCAATAAATCCATACATGAGAAACTAGAATAGCTATAGTAAAATCTTACTTAAGTAGCATATTAAAATAGAATGGCAACCTAGAATAATAAAGTTTAAAGTGACAGCAAAAGTTACTGTTCAAGAATCATATGATTGAAAATGCTAGAGAATTCCAAACTCACTGAAACATGGCCGTGCCCACTAAGAGAAGATTGCAAGAGGCGGGTTAACTTTGAATCTCGATATGGAACATGAGATGCTTTCCCCTCGCTCAATTTTCCTATAACCTTCATTGAAATCATAAAATCAAGATATTAACTCATGCCCTCCCCGAGAGGGAAAACGAAAACAAAAGAGCACCCAACCAGTCCCTGAGCCCCCAATACAAAAGCCCGTTTCTTGAAAGGTAGTTATGTGTGGCGGATAAATGTTTCATCCAAATTTAACAGATTTAGCAATGAAATAGAATTATTTTGGTCTGCTTGCTTACACAAAAAAAAAGGGCTTTGAAATGCATCATTTTCAGGCAAATATAAATATCTTTTAGAAAGATTAATGCAAGCTTTGAAACTAGCGCGTATAGTAAGACTAACCCCTAGCTAAAAATACATAAATTAAAAATGGTGGTCTCGGGTACTAAAGGACATGACCAAACTTCTCCGTAGCAAAAATATACACTGTATGACACCTACTGTTCCAAGTGTCAAAAGACTTTTGTTGATATAAGATCCTTCTTTTCTTCTTAATCCAGTTGTTTCAGTTTTGGAACTTTCAGATCCAGCCAAATCAATCAAATTCTGAAAGACGACATAAGCAAAAATGAAAATATTAATCCAATTTATATAGAGAGAGAGAAAGAAATTTCAATTAAGTCATAAATAATTTCTACATACAAGCTGAGAGAATATCACTCCATCATACTCATCACCGTGGGCACTGCTTTCAACCATCTGTAAATGTAATAGTTACGATACAGCTTAGATTTATATTTTAAAATAAATTTGAATATATTATTTTGCATTGATGACACTTGATTCATGACAGAAAGCCAAATTACATTAATTGCGAAATAATTTAACACTTTTGGTCATTTAATCATGAATAAGCTCCAACATACATGTATAAAAGGAAAGTGCAGCAATCTGGTTACACATTTGACAACTTACTGCATTGGAATGTAATTCATATTTTTATTTACACAAGTAAAAAAAATATGTTATATAACAATTTTAACATTGTCATATCGAGCATGTTTACCAGTGTGAATATTGTGTGACTCCTGCTGCTAAAGAGATTAAAATTATTTGATCCAACATGACGATGCTCTGCCACAAAAAGAAACAAGCTTGCTAAAAATGCTTCTTAGACAAATATTATTCACGAGTAATATATTTTATATTATTGAAAAACAATTGGGAGGAAACGTGTAACTATCATTATCAATGTAAGTACCTTCTCCAGCAGCAATAAAAGAAAGTGCATGTCCAGGAGATAGAACAACCTCTTCCTTTATACCCTCAACATAAGTTCCCTACAAGCCAGCGCCATAATTGAATAACCCAATTAATAATAACTAAACAACAAGTGTTTCCAACTTCTAAATCGACATTGATTCTCTAAATACTCTTCAAATCACAAATGCCATTGTTAAGAGTCCCACATCGGACAATATATGGCATGAACGTGTGTTTATAAGTGGGGGCAATCCTCACTCTACCAACCGATTTTGTAGGGTTGAGTTAGACCCAACCACAATTTCTTAACAAGGTATCAGAGCCTCGTTTAAGATCCGGTGGGCCACCTTCTATTGGTTTCCGCTATCGGGCCACCCACCATCTATTTCCACGCTTCAGTTGCCCAGTCCTGAGCGTGATAAGTGGGGGCAATCCTCACTCTACCAGCCGGTTTTGTAGGGTTGAGCTAGGCTCAACCACGTTTCTTAACAGCCATCTCACTCTACCAGCCGGTTTTGTAGGGTTGAGCTAGGCTCAACCACGTTTCTTAACAGCCATAATTGACTTTTATTTAATGAAATTCTAACCCATTGTTTTTACAAGAAACTGAATATTTTTATGAAAGAAAAGGATTGTGATAAATAAAAACGTCAATCTTCTGACAATGAACACCATCACTGATCATGCAAAAGTGCATATACTCCAAGAGCATTAGAAATATCAGTGGTCGTGTATTCAAGAACAAATTAAAATAGAGTAAGAGACTCATGAATTTAGGTAGATACAAAAATAGATGGAACAACACCAGCACTAAGATTTTAAACAAGATAAGTGTACAGTGAGAAACCTGTGAATCTTCTCTGACCCGTAAATTTTGACCAGTTGGGTCAAGCAAATCATTTATCACCTGAAACCAAGCAGAAACAAATATACCATTTAAAACAAATATCTTGGAAAGACATGTACACACAAACACAATATGCATGCAACAATGTGACAATCTGTCACACAATGGTCATTGAAAAGAAGGAAAACACTAAATCATGTTCAGCATAAACATGACTTGGCAAATAATATTCAGTTCTTACCTCGTTGTATATTTCTAGATATGACACTCGAAGTAGGAATTCTCTTCCTGGAGTCTGCAGCAAAAGTACAATCAGATATAGATGGAATGAGATACTTCTGATCATACCAAATTGAAACAGCAATAAATAATTACCAATCCGGACATAGAGCTCAAGTATCCTTGTAATAAATATGTAATAACTAAATGGAGCACAGAAATAGCCAAACACACAGGAAAAGGGGGAGTAGTGCCCAAACACACCGAGAGAAAGAGAGAGATGGCAATTGTGACAAAAGGGTACAGAGACATATATAGTTCATTGAACATGATATAATGAACAACAGCAACACATGTAATTTAAAAAATCAATAATTACTGAGTTTGCACAAAAACTTACATCTTGAATCATGCTGAAAACATCCTTTATAGCTAATGGTATTATACCGGGAGAATTATGATCACCCTGCAAATATTATTTTTGAAAACAAAATTAAAAACACAACTAAAAAATAACACCTGCGCAGTAAAGTATACCAATAAGATTACTGCAGATCACATGCAAAAAAGGAAAATCATGTGAACCAGAAGCAAACTATATGAGCTAACATTAGTAAGAACTACAAGTGAAGCAAGCATTCACATGTGTTGACCATGGAGTTCTAAAGCAGAAGTAGCATTCAAGAGACTGCAGTAAGGGATATCAAAAGTACGTGTGTTGACCATGCCAGACTTCACATAAGAATACAAATGGTTGCATCCTAAAATAAGTAAGCATATCTCCTATTATTTGCATTAGTGCATACACACAAAGAGCAGAGCCAGTTACACATAATATTTCTAACCAATATTGACATTGCAATTGGAGACAATAGATTTCTTATCATTATTATTTGCAATTGCAGATGAATGCATTATTGCATGGTAACAAGCTATCTTAAATACTAAGTTAGTTTATAACATCATACTTCCTATGATTCAAATACGGGGAGGGAAAACAACAGCCCAGGAGCAGGGGTATTTTTTTATTTTTAATAGGGAATCTATAACAAGAATGGGTCAGCAAAACTACTGGACAGTAATATGAAGTTTCAACCATTGGATTTAAAATAAATCTACTGTAAAGCATGCATAGCGTAGCAACTAATGCTCCTATAACAAATCAAATGGTTAGTTCAATCATCAAATCCTTTTCCCCAGCTGACTGACATTATTTAAAATACAAAACTTTCTCCACTTTTCAATGCAACCTGCATTCTTCTTCTGTACATACTCTTTTTAAATTCCTTTTAACCATCAGTGAGTTTCCATAAAAAATGATCTGGGGAGGGAAAACAACAGCACAGGAGCAGGGGTATTTTTTTATTTTTAATAGGGAATCTATAACAAGAATGGGTCAGCAAAACTACTGGACAGTAATATGAAGTTTTAACCATTGGATTTAAAATAAATCTACTGTAAAGCATGCATAGCGTAGCAACTAATGCTCCTATAACAAATCAAATGGTTAGTTCAATCATCAAATCCTTTTCCCTAGCTGACTGACATTATTTAAAATACAAAACTTTCTCCACTTTTCAATGCAACATGCATTCTTCTTCGGTACATACTCTTTTTAAATTCATTTTAACCATCAGTGAGTTTCCATAAAAAATGATCTGAATCCTATAAGATGCCTCAGGTGTATTTTATTGCCAATTATTAACCCCAAAAAGAAAAGGAAAAAAAAAAAAAAAGCATGCAACACCTGTGCGTAAATCAAAACCCTTTAAGCATCACCCAAAAACTAATCTTACGAGAAGATGTCTTTAGCTACAAAAACATTAAGCAACAGCCAGACAACAAGAAGTAGCCATCATGTAGCATAAGTACAAAAGGTCAAGCACTTACAAGAAGAAGCTGTCATGTAAAATAAGTACTGTTGTGTTCAAAAATCAAAACCAGCACAAAATTACTAACAGACAGCCATTTTTTTATGAACATCAACATTACCCGAGAAAACTCTAATCTAAATAACAAGCTATAAAATTGCAATATGATGATTGTTGAAAAGTGACACACGATTCTCTGGTTTTCAGCACAAAACTTCAAATGAAAAACTTAAAAAGAAAATCAGTTAGATAAAGAATGACACTTACATGCATAGTATGTGTCTTACCACTACTGGTCACACCATAGGCAAACACGGTTCCTGAAATATTTAGAGTTAAAGTTACTTTCCATTAACCAGAAAAATTTATAAAAGGAAAAAGTTATCTTCAAAACTCAGCTGACTCATTAGTCACTCTAACACGAAAGAATATACATAACTAACTAGTCACCCTAACAATTCTAATAAAGATTTCAGATGAAACTTGGTAGTATCAAATCAGACTCTCCTCACTCGTCACATTCTAAATTAGCTTGACTCCAGAGATTAGCATTTCATACCATTGACACCTTCCATAGCAGCCTTCACCACAGGTTTGGCAGCTACTTCATACACCTCGTCTGATATGGTATGTGGTCCAAAAACTCTATCTGTCGAGAATCAAATCAGAATCATAAATTACCATCCACAGTTTCTCGTTCCACACTAAACCATAATGACTTTCCTAATGAAAACCAATTTGCTGAACAAAATTAACTCCAACAAAATCAATCAGAATATGAACATAACATACCAAATGCATAAGCAGTAGCTGGATTATATTCATTTCTAACAATCTTATCTCCATCCGCATACCAAGCGATCTCATCTCCTTTATTATACTCTCTTTCACTGCAACCAAATCAAACAGTGATACATAACCTCACACCTTAACCATGGATCTGAAAGCAAAACACAGATCTAAGCATTACCTTAAAGGACGAAACCGAATCGTGACGGAAATGCTGTCCGCTGACCTAGACGTATCGACAGGGTCAACAATCAGCTCCTCCGCTCCAAACACAACCGGAGAACGATCTCTATAACCGCGCGAGCCGTAATTCGTTGACTCACTCCGACCTCGACTCGGAGTCGTGGATCGACCTCCAGGGTTAAAAAACGACGACGTAGTAGAAGACGAAGAACGAGGTATTATCCTTCCGTTAGTAAGTGAAGAAGACGAAGAAGTAGAAGAATAAGGAGTTGAAGGTTTCCGATGAGAAAACGGTGAACTACTCCTTGCTCGGGAGGAAGACGCCATTCAGTTAACTCACTCACCGAGTTGGTGACTCAGTAAATTCAAATTCAAAATAAAAAATAAAAATAAAAAGAAATATCTAAGTAGCGTGGTAGAAGAAGAGAATGTGTCAGAACTCTCACATGGAGTAAAATTTGGTTCTCATAGCTTTTTTAAATTTTTTCTTCTTTGTTCGCTGTATATGCTTTTCGATATTAATATTCTCACAGAGTGAATGTTACGTATTTTTGAAGGAAGATGAATCGTTGCAGTGATGAAGAAGATCAGTGGAAGAAATGGGGTTAACGAGAGAGAAAGAAGAAGATAGTTTGATTTCAAATTTTATTTCTATTTAAAAAAAAATTTAATTGGAAGATTATTTTAATAAATTTAAAAGAAAATTATTGTTAGATTTGTTTTTACCGAGTGATGAGGTGGCGAATGAAAGGGTAGTTTGAATTAAATTATAGTGTTTGGAAGTAGCAGAATAAAATAATGGAGAAGCGGCGATAGTCTATTCGAAAATGGAGTAATGTGAAAATGAGCGGGAATAACTGCATCAAAAAAAAAACTGTGGACGCTTATTATGATTACGAAGATAAATTTGCAATTTTTTTCTTGGAGAATGTGAATATTTTTCTTCAAAAAATTTATCATGCTTCAGAAATAGAAACTTTTGTCTAAAATAAATACTATAGAAACTAATAAGTTGTATTTTTATTTTAATGACTTTTTATCTTTCTTAAAAATTAATTTTTTATTATATTATATATTGGACTGGGTTTGGGGCTGACCTACCGTCGGGCACGGTCTAACTCAGCTTCGCGTCGAAGAGGGTCCACCACGAAGGCTCAATCTGCCATCATTGTGGGAGAAAACGTTCTTCACACGTCATCCCCACACGGGAATACGTCATTAACCAACTACCCACGACTTTCAGGCGACGACTTCGCCCTCGAGAACAGCTCCCTCACTTCCCGAAGTTCGTGGGGCAGTTGACCCAGGACGAAGATCATGTGCTGGTCTTCCCTACCTCCACGTAGGATCCTGTCAGTCATCTGTTATGGGTCTTACGATCCAATCCACAACAGATGACCAATGGCTCAGCGTTAGGGGCACATTATAAATATCCTCCTCCACAAAAGGGTATGGTATTCTGATTCATACTCATTTTATATATTTGTTGTCTCTTTTACTCCCTTTCTCACTTTGGCATCAGAGTGTCTTACAGGTACACCCCCTTCCTCTTCTCCACCACCGGTGAACTTTGAACTCACAACGTGTTGCTGACCGCTGATCCTCTTTCTGACCCGGTAAGATCAATGGCGTCGACTATGGAGACTTTGCTCCATTGTCTTTTCTTTCCTTGAAAATTAAAGACCAAAGAAACTTTCCAACTACCTATCAGTCATCATGGTCAGTCAACACACTAACGACAACATCCACAAAGCTGCCTTCACCACTTTCACTACTGGCGACGACCACGACAACAACGTGACGCTCGTTGCTGAAGAGGGTGACCCAAGGGACGGACTCACCGCCTCTCCTTCCCCCGACAATGCGGCCTACAATGTCGTCCCGTGTTTCGAGAGTCCGGCCATTTTCCAACCAATCCTGGTGCCACCCAACACTGATCCTACCACGGTGGCCTTGTTCGCCGCAATCAACTAGACAAACCTGGTGATTTTCCAGCAGAACGAACGGATTGGAATGTTGAAGAAAGAACGTCAATCACGCTTTCCCCCGCAGAGACATCGGCGCATAGCTTCTCATAGCCTGTCCCCGCGACAACGAGAAACCCGTCCACACTCTCCCCCGCGGAGACACCAACGGGATGAGTCTCGAAGCCCCTCACTGCGACAACCTGGACGTCAGCCGCATCTAGAAAGACCACAAGTCGAAATCATCCAAAAGCAGGATCGCACTTCTCCCCGCAAAGAGTGACGCTCCCCGACTCCCAAAAGGAGCAAGGCCAGTAGGCAGCTAGAGAAATCAAAGGGTCGACCAAGGAACTCGTCACGTCATGGTAGAAGCCCTAGCATGATCGCTCCCTGTCGCGCTCATCGATCTAAAGCGACGAAGATGACCCCCGTTGGGATGGAAAAGCGACCAAGCCTGGCGACCTATGATGCCACGACGAACCTGAACGACCACATCGAAAACATCGATGTGATGCTCGACTACCGCAACGTCCGAGGCGCCATTAAGCGCATACTCTTTCTCACGACTTTGAGGAAATGTGCCATGGTGTGGTACAAAAGTCTCACCTCGAAGTCCATCACCTCTTAGAAGGACTTAAAAACACAATTCACCAGGAATTTCACCGCCTCTCGATGACACCCGAAATTTGAGGCGTCGCTCGAGGCCATCATTCAGGGGAAGGATGAGTCTCTTTGAGCCTACATATAAAGGTTCAACCGAGAGGCCGTCCAGATCTCCACGACTGACCAAATGAAAATATACCTGCTCGAGCGAGGGTTGCGTCCCCGTAGAGACTTCGCCAAAGCAGTTAGCATTGAAACCTCTTGCTTGTTGGATGATTTTCTTCTCAAAGCCCATACATACATACAGTATAAGGAGAGAGAGGCTGCCAATAATTCCCGCGACTCACAAAACCAAGAGGGCACCAAAGTCATGAAGTATGACGACCTCGTGGCTCCTCAACGTGGCGGGGAGAAAAAGAGAGATGACAAGCCCCGCGACTCCCGCGAACACAGGGGATCGCCAGCCGTTTCTCCGAGCACACACTACTAACCTCTCCATGCGAGTGCATCCTGGTCGAGTGTATAAACTCGGAATTCCAACAAGGTGGGATCCGATTTCTCAGGCCAACGCCCCCGAAGCCTAATGTCGACAAATGCAAGTGCTACCGGTTTCACAAGAGTCGTAGGCACATGACCGAAGATTGCATTCACCTCAAGGATGCGATCTAAATCCTCATTAAGGAGGGACGCCTGAAGCAGTACACCAAGAGGAGCGAGGCTCCTTGACAGGACGTCCGTGAGGCAAAGAAGGTCGAGAAGAAGATACCTCCCTCTAACAACATTGGCTTACAAGTAACCCTATGCATTTCTCGGGTTGAGAAATTCTACGTCCCCGACAAGGTCGACACACTGCTATTTGTTCACAGCACCTGGAAGAACTTCCCTTCAGCTATGGTCATATCCGACGGAGGATTCAACAAGTTTACTATGGGGTCGGTGAAAAGGAAGTTTGACGAGCTGATCGATGCAAGCTCAGACCAGAACACAACTCTCGGCAGGTTATAGGGGAAATCAAATCTCATCATATTTTACCTCAAGGAGTTGTCGAGGGGTGCTCCTGACTCCAACATTCCTTTGCTCGTTAGAGTGTAGATGGAGAACTTCGACGTCCAACGTATTCTGGTTGACCAAGGGAGCTCCGTCGATATAATGTATGTTCACCTGTTCACCACTCTCTAGCTCGAGGAGAGTCATCTGACACCTTATGTAGGCTCTGACCTACAGGATTTTAATGGCACAACTACTAAGCCATGGGGCTACGTCGAGTTGCCCGTCACTTTTGGCGCCGAGGAAACAGCCAGACAGGTCAAGGTCCTTTTCCTGGTCATAGAGTGCCTATCTTTATACCAGTGCATTCTAGGAAGACCAACTTTGGCTGAGCTGACCGTTATGTCATCTACGGTCCACTTGAAGATGAAATATTATACTTCTAGAGGACACGTTGTCACTCTTCACGGGGACATTGAGGCCGCAAGAATATGCTTCAAAGCAGCAACAAAGGGGATGAACTCGACCAACATGACACCCAATACTGCCAGCAACCCAGCCAAGTATGAGAAGCATAAGCCATTGCCTCGCGTTAATTCAGTCGACCTCGACAACCGCTTCACAAACAAGCAGAAGAAAAACGGAGCAGCATCAGACGCATCTCTAACAGCTGAAAAAAACGGGAGCCTCTCCACCCTATGCGCCCCATTCCGAATGGCGACTTCGAGCTCATCCTCCTTATAATGACCCGGACAGACGCACGAAGATCGGCATAGGACTCCCCGACTTAGCAAGGAAGCAACTAAAGGCATGCCTCAAGGAGAATGCTGACTTGTTCGTGTGGAGCTCTGTAGAGATGCCCGAATTGGACCCTGACGTCGCTTGTCATCAGCTGACCATAGATCTAGCCGATATGGTCATAGTACAACGTAGGTGTAAGCAGTCTCCCAAGAAAGCAGAGGCTGTTGAGTTAGCTGTAAAAGACCTCCTAGAGGCAAATTTTATTTCTGAAGCCCAATACACAACCTGACTGTCTAATGTTGTACTTGTTAAGAAATCTAATGGAAAGTGGCGTATGTGTGTTGACTATAGCAATCTTAATGGGGAATGTAACACCCTAAATTTTAATTGGAATATTTACTTAATTTATTTAAATAAGAATATTTGCATTTCAGTGATTTTCGGTGGTTGTTGTGAAATATTGAGAATTATGGAGTTTTGGGTTATTTATTTAAATAATAGTATATAATATGAATATATTAAAATTATTATTAATTTAAATAAATATAAGTTAACTAACGCCAATTTGGACAATTAAGGAGGAGTTAGTGAGGATAATACGGGAAAAACCCAATTTATAGGCCCAGGGTTAGGTTTAACAAAAAGGGAATTGTGATGGGATTAGGATTCATTTTGTTATACCGTGAAAAGAATTGAGGCCAGAGCTCTGAGGAGGAGGTTTGAGGCAAAAACTTCGAAAGATTTTCTGAAAGAATTGAGAAGGCTTAGAGTCGGCAATTAAGGTATGAGAAGTATTACCTTTATTGTTTTCAATGTGTAATTTCAATGTATTTAAGGTCGATTTAAGGGTTTAAGGGCTCTGAGGCTGATTATGAGAAAAAGGGATTTTGGCCTTCGTGACCTAAATCTATTACTGAGATTTTAACCGTAGGGATTTATTCGGGTTATAGGAAATTAGGTCTTTGTGGCTAAAACTCTGATTTGACATTTGTCTAACCCTGTAGGAATATTGGATAGTGAGTAACTCTAATG